CACACACACACACACACACACACACACACACACAGGAGCAGTTTCTTTGTAAGAAGTCCCGTGACCTTGAAGAACTCCATTAGTCATCTCCCTTAGCCTCCAGCTCCTTATTCATCAGTACAAACAAGGCCACCAGGCCCTAGCATTGTAGGTCTCAAGGGAAAAATCCTGTTGGTGCTGGCATGAAGGTGTTGCCCACCTCTGTGGCCTGAAACACCCACCGGCGGCAGGGACTAACCTGAAATGTGGTTTACTTCCTTGCATGCTATGGCAGAAAAAAAATGAGAACACAGCCAATGTTATTGTATTTTTATTAAAAAAATTAAATAAAAAACAATCCATGAAATATATAAAACTAGAGTCCATCATTCATGGTGGGGATGGCTCAGAAGGAGCATCCAAGGGTGTGGCTAGGGCAGTTTCTTTCTCTTCATATCTAGGAGGCAGATCCAGTGGAAGATGTCCAGGGTGTGAGCTCGCAGAGGGTGAACCTGGTCCAGAAATGGTGTAAATGACTTCCCGTTCTCTCTCAGAGGCTGCGCCCTGGTTCTCAGGAGTTGGGGTCCTTCTGGAAAGAAAGAGCAAGAGTATGAGGGGACAGGATGAAAACAGTGACAGCCCTTAAGCACGAAGCTTCTCTGAATGTCTTGTTTCCAGGAGCCTCAGACCAGTCTTGAAGCTGTTTCTCCTACATTCTATGTTGTTGTCATTGTCATTGTTGAAACAGGGTCTCATTATATAGTCCTGGTTGGCCTTGAACTCACAGAGATCTGCCTGCTCCTGCTTCCTGAGTGCTGGGATTAAAGGTGTGCACCATCACCCTTGCCTATTGTGTTTTATAGATCTGCATTCACTACCCTGGTCCCCAGCTGTCTATGTGACACTCATGAGCCTGCTCTGTCCTCTAGCCAGCTCCTTCTCCCTCTCACTAGATAACCTTTCCCCTTCTAGTACCTTGACACAGGGCATGTGTCCTCTGGCTCCATCACCAGGCTACACACACTACAACTACTCTATTTGAATGTTGAGGTTCTCTCAGCTCCCCAAGAGAACACTTGAGTGCACACAAATGAAAGCCATGGACACCAGGTCCCTAGGATCTAACTTCCCCATCTGGTAAGATAGCCCATCTGCCTTCCCAGTTTGCCCTGGAATGTTTTTCAGTAATCTTCCCTTTACTCTCTACAACCTGTGTCCCCCACTCCGTAAGAGTTGGCATCTTAGAGCTACACACATTGGGCTCTGTCTGGCACTGCCCAGGACTCCTGCCCAAACACCTTCTACTATGTTTTAGGAGCTCCATATCAGTACTGCTTCTCTCTCAGTACACCCAGCTCTGAAAGTCTACCTCAAATGTTTGTTGTCATGTTCCCTCCCCCAGCAGCAAGCCCCGAACCTCTCCTAGCCTGTGTGACCTCCTCTACCATTCTCCCTGTCACTCACTCTGGAGGGCAGTGTCTCCTGTCTTGAGGCCAGCTTCCTGTTACTCTCTCTGTCTTGGGTTCTTGCTGTTTTAGGCCTGTCCCATGAGAATCCCCTTCTCCTTTTGATGTGGAGTGGGGCATGGACCATCTATCTCTCTTCAATCGTTCTTCAAAGCTCTGAGACCCAGAGACAACTGAATATGGATGGAGAGGCCCATGTGGGCCAGGTCAGGGCCTCTTCCATTAGAACCCTGAAATCCTTCTTAACACGTACCCTGTAGCCCTGAACCTCTCTGCCATCTGAAGCAACAAAGCTAATAGAGCAGAAGCCTCCAGCACCCACTGCAGCTGTCAGTGTGACAGATGTGTAGTTATGGAGACAATAAAGATACTCAGAGGTTTCCTAGCAACCCTTTATCACTTGGCCTATCAGCTACCCAAGGTTTCCTGACTGAGAGTAAGCATCAAGGCAGGAACTCTTGACATACCATCAGATACTGGGTACTCTAATGCCACCAGAGCTTTAAAGCTGGAGTGGTGGGGAAGGGGAACTCTTACCCATAGTTAAAAAGACTGCAATAGGAAGGTGGGTTTTCAGTGTGGTGCAAACTGTTAGGCCCAGGAGGTCGAGTTCCTGCTGAAGACTCAGGAAAATAAGGTGGTGGAGGGGGCGGGAATATTATCACCGAGTCACCTAGGGAAACACACAGCAAAAGTTAGAGAAAAACAAAATTAATGACTTCTATCTCCCCCCGCCCATAAAGGTCAAAACAGCCCTGTGCACTCTAGGATAGGTAGTCCTGTAAAGATAGGCCTGTGATGCTTCCATGTTCAGTAGAATAGTTTGTGGTTGGGACGGAAGGGGGTTGAACTGCTGTTTAACAGGTGTTTCTGATTGGGATGAAGGGATGATTCTGGAAGCTGATGGTGATGACAGTATTATAATATTCTGGCTATATTTAATAACATTACATTGTATATTTATAGATATAGATAAAACATTACTTGTATATAGTGTTTATCTAAACTGTATATACTGTATATTTAAAACAGTTAAAATAGGGCTAGGGGGGATGACTCAGTCAGTACAGGACTAGCCTCACAATTGGAGGACATGAGTTCAAATCCCCACACCCATGTAAGACTCTGGGCAGAGTGGCATGTGCCTGTAATCCCAGCTTTGGGGAAGTATAAACTGGAGGATCCTTGGGGTCCATTGGCTAGCCAGCCTAGACAAATCAGCAAACCTTTAGTGGCAGTTGGAATCCCTATCTCAAAAAAATAAGATGCAATGTGATTGAGGAAGGCACCCAACATCAACATGTAGCCCTCATCTGCACACATGTGTGCACTCATGAAGGCACACATACAATCACATAACACAAAAATAAATGAAAATTAAAAATGGTTGAGCCATAAGTTGTTTTGTTGCTCTGTTTTGTTGTTGTTGTTGTTGATGATGATGATGATGATTTTCTTTTTGTTTTGTTTTGTTTGAGACAAGGTCTCACTATGTAGCCCTGGCTGGCCCAGAGCTCGATATGTAGACCAGGCTGGCCTCAAACTTACTTGTCTACCTCTGCCTCTTGAGTTCTAGAATTAAAAACATGTGTCACTACACCTGATCCTGAAATAGTAAGGTTTTGGGGTACATATAGGCTATTACATTTTTTAAGTTGGCTTATAATTCAGAGCCTTGAATTCTCTGGTGGCAATGTGGAGTTGGCCTCTATCAAACACACCTTAGCTAACATATCTGTGAGAGTCAATAGCACACTCCCTCAACTTCCCAGGGATGTCTTCCATTGAGACAGGTTTTCATGCTTTCTAGTGATAATTTTTTTATTTACATTCTTTAATTACTACTCATATTCACATATCCATCCCCCCAATTCCCTCACCCTCCCATGTTCCCTACCAAACCCCCAACCTATCCCCCAACCCCTCCCCATGGATAGTAAGGCCCTCCACTGGGACCTTCAAAGTCTGTCATATCATTTGGGGGAGGGCCTAGGCCCTCCTTGCTGTATCTGGGCTGCAATAGTATCCCTCCATAGGGAATGAGCTCCCAAAGTCCATTTGTGCTCTAGGGTTAAAGACTGGCTCCTTAAAACATTTTTTTTTTGATTTTTGATTTTTGAAGACAGGGTTTCTCTGTGTAGCTTTGTAGACCAGGCTGGCCTTGAACTCACAGAGATCCACCTGCGTTTGCCTCCTGAGTGTTAGTACTAAAGGCATGCAACACTAACACCCAACTCTAGTGATAATCTTAATTCATCAAAATCCAGCTCTGGATAAAGTGCAGAATTGCTCAAATATAGTACTCTGCACACATGGCAATATGCCATACTGTGCCCCACCTTTGCCCCAGCTGCATGGGTGCAGTCAAATTTTTAGAAGTTTGGTTGTTTTTTTTTTTTTTTATCTCTGTTTACTCTAGAACACACCCCTGTGTTCTGAGGAAGAGGAACAAGGGGCCAGAACAAGCTCTAATTTGTGTACTATTCCAGTCCTCTAGGACTCCAGTGCACAGAGTATTGCCCAGAATGTTCCAGACAGGAAGTAGCTCTGCTATCAGAGGACTCTGATAGGCCAGCACTACCAGTTGACAGTGCCAGGAAGATGTAGGAAAGAGAACTCTACTTCCTTGTAGGGCTGTTACCAGCTCACACCAGTGGCATGACTTTTACAAACCATTTTCCAGGGACCAAGACAGGGTAGCCCTGAGAAAACTCAGAATTCCCTAGCCTCAGCTGTCACAGCTGTCAGCTATAACTGAACAGCACCTGTCTTGGAGGACAAATAAGACAGGATGTGGTCACTTCTGTCCGGTGTTAAAAGTGCTACCTCATACAGAGAAAAACCTTCGGCCTGTGACACCTGGCAATGACACCTTCAACCCTGTCACCAGCAAAGGGCAATTATTTGCCTGATGAAAAAAAAAAAAAAAAAAAAAAAAAAAAAAAAAAAAAAAACTTCCAACTGGCTGTCTCTGCCCCCACCCCTGCCCCTACTGCCTTAGCCGTTTCCCAGAAGTCACAGAGATGCCCAGAAAATGAATGAAGTCCTGCTCTCCTTCCAGGAGACGGCAGGTGGGCCCTGACCTATTTGTCTCTGAAACTTGACAAACTGGAAAGGTCCTCTTTGGATTCATCTGGTTTTTAGAGGGCCTTGGTGTCTAGGCTTCGGAGATGGCTAAGCAGTTAAGAGCATGCACTGTTCTTTCAGAGGTTCCAAATTTGGTTCTCAGCACAGCATCAGGCAGCTCACAACCGTTTGTAACTCCAGTTCCAGGGGACTCAACACCCTCTTCTGAGCTCCTCAGGAACCTCCACCCATATGGATATATATCCCTGCACATACTCACACAGGCACTAATAATAATAATAACAACAGCAATAAATCTTAGCTGGGGATAGTGACGCACGTCTTTAATCCCAGCATGAGGAAGGCAGAGGCAGGTCAATCTCTGTGAGTTTAAGGCTAGCCTGATCTACATAGTAAGCTCCAGAACAGCCAGTGCTGCAGAGTGAGACCATGTCTCTAAATAAATAAATAGACCTTTAAAAAAAGGAATATCTTAGTAGGTCTAGGTACTGGAAGTGAATGCTCACTTTAACTCTATACTGTAGTGTAAAGGGCCGAGGCAAGCCCACAGGGCAGACCACCTTCATCCTGCTTTTCACATGGAGATGGTACAGCTGTCTTGATGGGCCACTTTAAAGATGACTGAATCTTCGATAATAAGCTCTTTAACCCCCTGGGGGGACAGGAGTGCCTCAGTGAGTGCCAGCTTTTATATTGTGCTGTCACTATAAGCATTTATATACACAAATACATCAGCCAGAGTGTTTAGCTTAAGACAGTACAGTCTACAAATCTATCTGATCTTCCGCTCCTGTGGATCATGACCCTTTGGGGTCAAAGGACCCTTCTATAGGGATCGCCTAAGACCATTAGAAAACACAGGTATTTGCATTATGATTCATAACAGTAGCAAAATTACCGTTATGAAGTGGTTAAGAAATAATTTTATGGTTGGGGTCACCACAACATGGGGAACTGTATTAGGAGCTTGAGAACCACTGTGATAATAGTGTCGCTGGGGAATGGGAGAATTCCCTCAGGGCATGCCGCAGGGATGGGTGTGTGTGTGTGTGTGTGTGTGTGTGTGTGTTTGGTAGTGAGTTATTTGTGTACTCAGTTGTGTGCACACATATGAGACAAAGAGGAGTTGAGTTGAGAAAAGGAATCTAGACCAGAACTAGAGAAGCCTGGCGAAGCCTTGAGGCAACATCAACTATGACTTGAGCAAATTCACCATCGACCAATACTCACCTACAGTGATATGAACAGGCTCCGTACTGTGGGTGTGTTCCCCTTCCATTTCAGGAGTATGTCGGCTTGAACTCAAGTTGTTTTTCTTCTTAACATGGGCCACCACAAAGAAACACAGTCCCACAAGCACAATCAAGGGCCCCATGATCTGCAGAGACAGGAAGCTGCACATCTGGGCCTCTGATTCTCCAGTATCTGTCTCATTCAGGGACTCCTGTTCCCAGTCTGAGCCACATCCAGGCACCCAAATGCCCAGTACGCTGATGAGCATGCCACTGGTCAGGAACAAGAACCCAAAGATGAGGCACTGGGCAAACTGGCGGCTCTCTCCACAGACGAAGGATTGATCAGTGTCCTGGTGGCCTCGCCGCTGCTCCTCACGCAGGTGCAGGCGAGCCCTGGAGCGGGCTAGAATCACAATCCCCAGCCCCACCACTGCACAAGAGGGCCCAGCAATCTTTAGCACCATGCTGCAGTGTGAGAGGGGCTTATATTGGCATGCCTGGTAGCCAAAGATGGAGAGCAGGACTCCCACACACAACAGGACTGCCCCAAAGATGAAGAGGAAGAAAACGAGCTTGCTGACATGCCTGTCCCTCTGGTCCCCATCTGGCTCAGCAGTTCCTACGGAAGACATGGCCAGAAAAGAAAAGGCTTCCGACGGGAAGGTGAAATGTGTCTCCTTCTCTCCCGCAGTTTCAGGCTCTGCAAACAATAATGAATGCACAATTACAGTGAATATAGGTATCTATGGCCAACTCTGATCTCTTGCTAGCCTTTTGCAGAAATCACAGAAGGGTGACCTGTGAGGTGGCAGAATGTCATGCAATTGGTCTGCTGTAGAACAAATGACTTGGTCCATGAGTCAGGAGAACTGGCATCCAAAGACTCCCAAATGGTAATGTCATGAATATATCAAAAAAAAGAGGGAATTCAATTACCAAGCTTCTGAAATAAGGAAATTTTTTTTTAAAATAAATAAAATGACTGGCTATGGCTTTTCCTGTTCTGAGTCTTACAAACTCATTTCTCCAGGCCAATAATAATAATAATAATAGTGGCAGATAAGAGAAGAGTCATGGGGATAATTTCTGGTATAAAGCTGCCTGTTATCATGTCAGAACTTCTCTGAGAAGTTTGGTAAATTTTTGTCTAATAACTAACTTTCCACTTCCCGTTTTAGACTTCAGCAACTTTTCACTTCTCACTTGATTCTAAGGCTACATCAACACATGACCCAGTGCCAGCAGTTTCAACAGAAAGGAAGGGTAGTTCAGAAAGACAGTAGGTTCGGGGACTTTCAAGTTAATTCTGTCAAAACGTGATTCTAGGGTTCTCAAGAAACAAACTACAGTATTGCCCAGACACCCCACCCCTACTGGCAGTTCAAATTCTTGACCTGGTGTGACTTGGGTGAATCTAGCACAACAGGTAAAATCCAGCCCCATTGTGGAGGTAGACAGTGCCTTCAGGTAGGTGGACAGGCCAAGGCAGGTGGCTAACACTCACCCTCCTCCACAGTGCCACCCACTTCCACAGAGACTTAGATGAGTTGAAGAGCACGTAGTTACAAAGAACTAAAGGCTAACAAAACTTGCTGGAAAAACGTAAGTGGGACCAAGTGGGAAAGCACCTTTCACAAAACCACCAAAGGTCAGTACTTCAAGAGTATTTTATGCTCATACTAGCTGGACATGCAGCCCATGCTTTTAATCCCAGCCCTTGGGAATCAGTAGGGAATCTCTGAGTTCAAGATTAGCCTGGTCTACATAGTGAGTTCCAGGATAGTCGGAGAGCTACTTAATAAAGAGACCTTGATATACTAAGTTCACCAAGCAGTGGTTAAAGGGTATGAAAGTTCATACAGCATTGGTCTTTGAACCAGTGATCTTGTTTCACTTGGGTGAAGGAGACTAAGGGCCCTTACTGTACCACTCACAAACACAACCCTAAATCAGGAAGGACATATCCAAATAGAGAAACCTTCAAAACATGGGGCTGGGAAGATGGCTCATCGGTTAAGAGCACTGGCTTGCTCTTCCAGAGGACCCAGGTTCAATTCCCAGCACTCTACATGACAGCTCACAACTGTCTATAACCCCAGTTCCAGGGGATCCAACACCCTCATACATACATACATGCAGGCAAAAACACAATGCACATGAATAAAAATAAACAGTTTAAAATTTTTAAAACGTACTTTGCCATTCATAAGGTGAGTTTAGGGAAAGAAAGTAATCAGTTGATGCCACCACTGGAAGTACTTTTCCCGAGGAAAGTGCAATAGAACCAGAAAGAAGTGGAGAAAAAAAGGGCGGGGGGACAAATGAAGAAAGCTTTCCTCTCCAACTTGGAAAAGCCACATTCCATGAAGATGCTGTTAAGATCGAAGGCTTAAGCATAGCACTAATTTAAAACACATCTTCCCCCGAATCACATAATCTTACTGCTGCTTTCCCAGATAACGACTGCCTCAAGTTCAAGTTCTGTTAGAAACTCACTGGATTCCTGCTGTCTCCAGCTTTGCAGGCTTCAACTCTTAAGGCAAGTTCTCAAACACCATCAATATAAATAGAAGAAGCCCCAAACTAGATTTGTAGTATGTCTCCCCTAGGACACCTAGCACATGTGTTAGTCCCCCATCCAAACTAAGGTGGAAATCGCCTCAGCGCCCCCCTCCTCCCCACATTAGGTGCGCTCAAATCAATGGACACTCGGGGACACCCACATAGATGGAAAATTACCTAAGAAACAGAACCTATTCTACCTTAAAGGTTTCCAAAGCCAGCCCCCACAAAGCCAAATCCTCTCATAAACACTCTTTTGGTTGTTCCAGCTCCAAATCAACAGCATCTCTCTGCTTCCAACGCTCCGGAGAGTTGGCAAAGACAGGCCAGGAGAGGCAAATATCTTTGCAGGGAGTTGCTGCGGTTCCCGGGGTGCCGCTTACCTGAGCTTGTCCTGGGACTCTC